CGCCCCCCAGGCCCAGCGAGTCCTGACGACCCGGCGGAGAGGACAGTGACAAGTTAATGCAGCGGCCACCAAGGGTGTCCACCCGCCGACCAGAAGGCCGGCCCTAGGCCTCTGGGAGACCGGGACCCCTGCGATCCCGGCCCCTTCCCGCAGCCCCGCCCCACACGCGCAGGGACAGCAAGGTGGAGGGGCTGCGGGATGGGAGGCCGGTGGCGACCTATCAGCTCCGAACGCAGAGGAAATCCCGGAGGCCCGGTGGAGGCAGGGCGGCTCCGTCCGCAGTCACCTTCACGCGTCCCTGCCCCGCGGGGGCCTGCCGGCCTCCAAGGGGCGGGGGTCTCTCGGCCCCTGTCCACTAAAATAAAGCTCGGCGACTCTATTACACTGGGAAATGCGTCCAGCCGGCCGCGGGTCTCTCTCTCTGCCAGGACTGGCTGGGTTTTCCGGAGTCCGGGGTCTCCCTTCTCCCGCCCAGCGGGACGAGGAGGCCCCAGAGCGGCGGCGGTCGGGGCCAGTGTCACCGCCTGCGCCGGGGAACCCCTTCCCCGGGTGGAATGGGGAGGGGGCGGCCACCCCCAACCCCGGCCCCTGCCCGCTCCGGCGACAGAAGGGACTTTCCCGCGGGTCCCGCGCGCGCTCACGAGGCGCCCCGAGCGGGCAGGAGCGGGTGGGAAGCCGGACTCCGACTGGGAGCGGACCCGCCCGGGTCCACACGGGCAGCTCGGATGCGGGGCAGGGTCTGGGGTCTGCGCAGCTGGGCGGGCCGGAGAGCTCGGCCCCGGGATACCCCGAACCGGGCCGGGACAGGTTCCGGAGCGCAGGGGGGCGCGGCCCCGCCCCTCCGCCCCTCCGCCCCTCCCGAGCCGCCGCGGCCCCGCCCTCCTCGTCACGCTCCATGTGACCCGCCCTCCTCGCGGTGCCCTTCAGCCGCCGCCGCAGTTCCCGGCGCCACATGGACCCGGCCGGCCCGAGCGCGCTCCGCCGCTGACCCCAGCGCCCCGACCCCGAGAAGGTAACCCGCGCCCCCTCCCCTCCCC